CACAAACATGAATAAGGAGTGTCCTCCATCAACGGGCATCATCTGGAAGCGTTTCCAGTTGTCCAGAATCTCCCCCCAAAATTAACACCTCTTGGCTGCTCTGTGCACATTGAGGTGGCTGCTGTCATTACCACGGATTTCAGGTTATCGGTGCCCTTGGCCCAGAGGGCAGGGAATGGCCCGTTCACCATGCAAGATAGATCTATGTTCTGGACAAAGCCTATGAGTGTAAGTTGGCTTAGGGTTCCAGGCACTCAACAATGCCCCTCTGGTTAAAGCTGGAGAATTGGGGCACCTGGGTTGCCCAATCAGTTGAGCGTCTGCCTTGGGCTCACATCATGATCTCAGGGTCCTGGGATCGAGCACTGTGTCAGGTTCCCTGCTCAATAGAAAGTCTGCTTCTACCTCTCTCTCTCTGTCCCCCTGCCCCCGCTCGTATTCTCTCTCTCTCTCCCTCAAATAAATAAAATCTTTAAAAAAAGAGAGAGAGAGAGAGAAAGGAAGAATGGATTAACACATGAGATACAGGAGCTGAATCTCAATGAACACCCCAATGCTAGCATTGAAACTGCTTGGGTCCAAATCCCAGCCCTGCCCGGGATTGGCTGAGTCACCCTTAAGCAAATGGCTTTGTTGCTCCGTGCCTCAGTTTTCCTGACTGTAAAATGGGGTATTGAAAACCCTACCTTGTAGGACCACTTGGAGTATTAAGTCTTTAATCCATTTCAAGCCCATTTTTATGTGGGTGGTGTAAGAGAGAGGAGTCTAATTTCATTCTTTTGCATGTGAACATCAAATTTTCCCCAGCACCATTTATTGAAGAGATTATCTTTTCCGTATTGAATCTTCTTGGCTCCCTCATCAAATATTAGTTGACCAGATATGCATGGGTTTGTTTCTAGTCTCCTAATTCTGTCTTTTTTTTTTTAAATGCCAGTGCTGTACTGTTTTGATTAGTACAGCTTTGTTATAATGTGGTTTGAAATCAGGAAGTGTGATGTGTCCAGTTCTGCCCTTCTTTCTCAGGATTGCTCTGGTTTATTTCAAGGATTAAATGAGATGATATCTGTCAGATACTTAGAAGTCAGGGGCATACAGTAAGTGCTTAATGAGCATAGGCCCCATGCATGTGCAGGCAGTGTTGGCTGAGTATGTCCATGGAAGAAGAAGTGAGGCCAAGGAGCTGCCTCCCAGGGCCTGAGGGTCAGTGCTGGTGGCCTAAACCTTCCACTTGCATGAAACCCTTCCTTATGCAGGTGGCAGAAGAGCAAAGGGCTGACTTCAGGGTTGGAAGAGAGACCCAGACTAGCCTGACTTGATACCTGAATTCACTCCATAATTATTGAGCACCTACTGCATGCCACCATCTGATTTATGATTTGAAAGCCTTCCCTGACTGTGGAGAACCGGCTGGATGGAAATTGGTGGGGAGGGGTGTCCCTTGCTCCAATGAAAGTGAGAGGTGAGGATAGCTTGATATGAACTAGTAGCCGTGCAGACGGGGAAGGGTATATGGATTCGGGACAGGTTGGGAGTTGAAGTTGACAGGGATTGTTAATGGACTGGATGTGAGGGGTGAGAGAGAGAGGAGAATGTAAAGCAACTGAGTAGACGGTTTACCAATCCTGGTCCTCCCTACATCCCCGTGGCACTCAACATTTCCAGGTATTTATCACCATATAACAAGTTACCCCCAAAGCCTAGTGGCTTAAAATGATACACATGTATTCCTTCACAGTTTCTGTGGGTCAGGAATCCAGGTATGGCCTTAGTGGGGTGTCTCTGGTTCAGGGTCTCTGAGAGAGCTGCAACCAAGATGGTGGCTGGGGCCATGGTCTCATCTGAAGGCTCAACTGGGGGAAAATCTGCTGCCAGGCTCACTAGTTACTGGCAGGATCCAGTTCCTGACTGGCTGTAGGTCAGAGGGCCTCCTTCAGTTCCTCGCTCTGTGGGCCTCTCCATGGGGCAGTTCACAACATGGCACTGGCTTCCCTAGAAACAAGCGAAGAAGAGAGTGAGAGAGAGCACCCAAGATGGAATCCACAGAGTTTTTGGAACTTAATCTCAGAAATAACATGCCATTACCTTTGCTACATTCTCTTAGTTAGAAGAAAGTCCTGGAGTCCTATCCACACCCAAAGAGAAGGGATCACACAGAGTCGGGATCATTGGAGGCTATTTCGAGGCTGCCGCCTCACCATGCACATCAATCCAATGGCTTCATACCACCAGCACCTATAACTCTTTGCCTGGGGGCTCTCTCTGGCTGCAGAGGCAGCTCAGGCTTGTCTGGGGCAGCCAAAAGTCCTGGAGGATCCATTCCCCCCACTAGCATACCTCACCCAATGAAGGCTGGATGTGGGTGGATAAACAACCCAGCTCCCTCACCGCTCACATGAGGTAATTCTGGGGTGCATGTGCCATAAGCCTCCATAGAGATTAAACCCAAGATATCCCAGGTTGACCTGCTTGTGGATACAGTCTTTGCTGGGTGTCCTCCCTTCCCTACTTCGCCTCCCCTCTCCGCTACCAATGCTTCCTGCCATTGCCCCCCAGGTAAAGCACTTGCACTCAGATTGGGGTGTCTCTTCTGGAGATCCCAACTGTGTTCCTTTCTCAGGCCTGCTGTAATAAGTTACCACAAGCTTGGTGGCTTCAAAGAACAGAGGTGTATTGTCTCACGGTTCTGGAGGCCAAAAGTCTAAAATCAAGATGTTCGCAGGGCTATCCTCCCTCTGAAGTCTCCAGAGCAGGATCCTTGCTTGCTTCTCTCCTGGCATCTGGGAGCCACAGACATTCCTTGGCATTCTTGGGCACATGGCCACATCCCTTCAGTCTTCAGCTCTGTCTTCCCCGTGTGTCCTCTCCTCTTAGAAAGACACTTGTCATTGGATTCAGGGCCCACCCTAGCTCTAGTATGATATGGCATGGCATGTTAGCTAGTGATAGCTGCAAAGACCCTATATCCAAATAAGGTCTCAGATCAGAAAGCTCCCTCGCCCTGAGTGGCATTCTCTCCTGCAATTCCATCCATCTATCCTTCCAGTCTCAGTTTGAGGGTCCCTCTTGCAGTTCGGGGTAGGAGGCATGGAAGCCTCAGTTATACCAAGATCCTGTTATCCATTCCTGTCTCACCCGATACTCCCTTGTGAATGGTTTCCATTATTGTATTACATAGTTTTGCATTTTTTTTAATGTTGCTCTCCCCGCTTCTAGAATGTGAGCCTAGAAAGGGCAGGCCCCGGGAGATCACTGTGTCCCTTTGTACCTGGTTCAGGCATGGATATAGTAGGCGCTCAATAAATGTGCCTAGGCAGTTTCCCAACAAATTCTTCTGCCCGGGTGAGGGGGATGCATTGGGCCTCAGACCAGCATCACCCAACCAGACAGGTCACTTGGTGTCTCAGCAGGATGTTCCAGAATCTTCTTGCATGTACACGCGTGCGCTCACACGCACGCACACACACACACACACTCACATATACACAGAACGAGCCCTCCCCTCCTTCCCCGTCCCCAATTTCTCGACAGAATATTTTTTCCTGGAGCAGAAAATGAACCATTATTAAAACAACACGGCTACCGGCGGGAAAACCCATTTGCAGCGATTTATACCGCGTCACCGCGGCTGCTGAGAGGAAATGGGAGGAGAAGCGCCGGGTTTAAGCACTGGGTGAAGAATCGTGTTCCATCAGAGAGAGAACAGATGGGTGTTTTTTCTCCTCTCTCTCCCCCTGCTTAGGCTTGGTGTTAGGAATCCATGTCAGCCGTGGGTTTTTTCCTGGTGGTGTGATGGGGGTGACAGGGGAGTGGGAGGCCGGGCCAGGCTGCTGGGCCCCAGGGGAGGAGGAGCCCACTGTGTCTCCTGGGCCTGCAGGGCCGCCTGACCTGAGCCCCTTCTGCTATCATCACCTGGGATTTCCCTCCCCCTTTATTTCCTCCCCCATCCAAAGGCTGGTCCCTCCAAGGCAGGACCCTACCCTGTCCCTTCGTCCCTGGCGTGTGATACACGTAGTTGCTGACATGTCTGCGGAAACGGGCTAACCCACCAGTACCAGTGCATCATACCCTGACATTATTTATGCATCCACCCTCCCCACCAAACTGTGAGCACACTGAAAGAACGGGGGCTCTTTCATTTGTTTCGTTCGTTTACTCACCCTCCCCAAAGAAAGCCTGATCCACGGCCAGCTTTGGGGTGATGGGGAGAAGAGAGGAACATGACTGAGTCATGTAGCTGTTTAAAAGCCATCGGTGGCTTCTCTCCTTCCAAACTGAAACCTGTTAGCTTGGCTCCAATGGCCCTTCCCAGTTTAGACCCAAAACACCTGTTCACTTCCATCCCCAAAAATGCCCAGCCCCTGCCCTGACCCCAGGCACCTTCTAGTCAAACCCATCAGCTCTCTCTCTCTTTTTTTTAAAAAAATATTTATTTATTCATGAGAGACACACAGAAAAAGGCAGAGGGAGAAGCAGGCTCCATGCAGGGAGCCCGACGTGGGACTCGATCCGGGGACTCCAGGATCACACCCTGGGCCAAAGGCAGGCACCAAACCGCTGAGCCACCCAGGGACCCTCAAACCCAGTTCTCATGTGGTCCTCATCTCACCCAGAATGCTTTGTGTAGCCACCTCTCTGAACCTCTGGATTTGGGCACCTGGATGCCTTGCCCACTCCATGTCCACCTCCTGAGCCCCGGGGTTGGACACCCAGAGACCAGGCCAGCCCACCTATGTGATGTGCTGGGTCCCTGCAGGATTTTAACAAATTGTAATGAGTTGCCAGTTTTTAAATAACAGGTAACTGTTGCATAAAAATCTGGATTCCTGGCTTTCCATCAAAAGATACTGCCGCTGAGGAGCTGAGGTCACATTCCCAGCAGGGGGTGTTCAGCAAGCAAGGGTGGCGCCCTGAGGAGAGGGCACTGGTTTGCTGGTTCTGGTTCTCACGTGGTGAGTAGTTAAGGGGACTCTGGACCCAGACTGCCCAGGTTGGAATCACTCAGCCTTCCTGTTCTGGAACCTTCCACTTGCTCACCTGGATCAATTCTCCATCCAGCCTGGTGTCCCAGGAGACTGGGCTTTGTGGACTTCACTGACGGCTCCCAGGTCCTCTGGCTTGTGCTGGCTTCAGCCATTGAGGACTCCAGAGGTAGGGGAAGCCGGGAGCGAGGGTATTTATACCCACTATGAATGTATCGTGTGTTTCCTGCCAGGGGTTACATGAGTTAATATGGTATAAGAAAAGGCTTAGTAAGTGTTGATAAATATTAACAATTATCATCATTCTTCACCACAGTCCCTACCACTCCTTACTGGCTCCCCGGCCCCGATGTTGAGTGTCAGCTGTGCCGTGGCTGACACGGTTGGTCTCAATTTGGCTGTTTGGCGTGTCTGGATTACCTGCTGTCGCCTATGGGTTGTGGCTCAGCTCTGTGTCATCGCCTCTGCTGTGAGGGGTTCCCAGGAGGCCCTCCACCCCACCGCATACCCATCTCTGTCACTCCTCTCCAGTGACGGAGGTGTCAGCATATGGGAGCGATTGATTCCTGGGCTCGCCCACTGTACCGCAAGCCCCTGTTGGGGCTTCATACATGTTTGTGGCCTGTATTCCTTGCCTAAGGCTGCAGTATCAAAGTACCACAGACAGGGCCGCTTAAAACAAGGAATTGATTCTCTCAGTTCTGGAGATAAGAAGTTTTTTGTTTGTTTGTTTTTTGTCTTTTAGAGATTTTATTTAAGGGCACCTGGGTGACTCAGTGGTTGAGCGTTTGTCTTTGGCTCCTGTCGTGATCCCGGGGTCCTGGGCCCCAGGCCCGTATCGGGTTCCACATGAGGAGCATAGGCCTCTCTCTCTGCCTGTGTCTCTGCCTGTCTCTGTGTGTCTCTCATGAATAAATAAATAAAAGCTTTAAAAAGGGATCCCTGGGTGGCGCAGCGGTTTGGCGCCTGCCTTTGGCTCAGGGCGTGATCCTGGACACCCGGGATCGAATCCCACGTCGGGCTCCTGGTGCATGGAGCCTGCTTCTCCCTCTGCCTGTGTCTCTGCCTCTCTCTCTCTGTGTAACTATCATAAATAAAAATAATAAATTTAAAAAAGCTTAAAAAAAAGATTTTTTTTTATTTTAGAGAATGAGTGTGAGTGAGCATGGGCAGGAAGGAAGGGCAGAGGGAGAGGGAGAAGCAGACTCCCCACTGAGCAGGGAGCCTGAAGCAGGACTTGATCTCAGGACCCCGGGATCATGACTGGAGCTGAAGGAGCCCAGAAGTTGATAACCAGGTGACCACAGGGTTAGTGCTCCCTCCACCGGCTCTAGGGGAAGGTCTTCCCTACCCTTTCCAGCTTCTGGTGGTTCTTGGCTTATGACCACAGCATTCTAAGCTCTGCCTCTGCCTCCATGTGGCCTTCTCTGTGTCCTCTCCCCTTCTCTTCTCCTCTCAGGACACTTGTCGTTGGATTCAGGGCCCACCCTGATCCACGATGATCTCATCAAAAGATCCATAACTTAATTACATCTACAAAGACCCTTTTCCCCAATCGGGTCACAGTCACAGGTTCTGGGTGGACATATCTTGACGGGGGCCACCACTCAGTGCAGTACAGACTCCACGGCCTTCTGGAGTCTTGCCTTGCTTTCTTCTCTCTTCGCTCACTCAATCTTTGGAAGCCAGTGGATGACCAGACCTTGGACACCCACCCCTTACCCCTTGGCCTACAGTTGGGGATGAAGGGGGGTTGTTTCCTCTCCAGGAGGGGAAGCAGAGGCCCCAGTGCCATCTGATGGCCCTCTGTTTCCAATGCAGGCCGGGCCCTGAGGAAGGCTGCTTCTCTGTGGGCTGCCAAAAGGCTGGGGTGAGCCCCCCACCTTCCCCTGAGCTTGCAGAGAACACCCGGCAAGCACCACCGATCATCCCTTTGGCACAAGGCTGGGCTGAGTGGTTGTCATTTCTCCTTCAGATGCCAGAACTCGACACTCCAGTCCACAGTCTGCAGGGCCGGCCTCTGACCTGCAGCCCATTTCTTTCCAGGCCTGACAGGTTGGGTTGAGAAGGAGCGGTCCCCTGAGCTGAGGCAGGCTTCTTTGACTCCAAGCTACTTTAGCCCTCGCTCCCCAAGAATGCCCACAGCCCCTGCTCCACCTTTCTCCAGACAGTGATGCCTCCCTTCCCTCTGACACAAAATGGCTAGCTGGCCTAGGGCCCTGTTTTTACAGCTCATGTGAATTAACATTTTTTTAATTTTTATTATTTTATTTTATTTTTGTTTTATTAAGATTTATTTATTTGTGTATTCATGAGAGACAGAGAGACAGAGAGAGAGAAAGGGGGGGGGGGGAACAGACACAGGCAGAGGGAGAAGCAGGCTCCATGCAGGGAGCCTGACATGGGACTCGATCCCAGGCCTCCAGGATCAGGCCCTGAGCTGAAGGTGGCACTAAACTGCTGAGCCACCCAGGCTGCCCAATTAACATTTTTAAAAAATAATTTCTTTTTAAAGGTATAATTCACCCCACATTAGATTAACCATTTTAAAGTGTACAACTCAATGATTTTTTGCATATTCAGGTGTTGCGCAGCTATCACCAGTATCTAGATCCAGAACATTCCCATCGCCCCAAAGAAAACCCTATACCCACGAGCAGACACTCCCCACCCCCCTCCTCCAGCCCTGATCAACCACTGATCTAATTTCTGTCTCTCTGAATTTGCCTATTCCGGACATTTCTTATGAATGGAGTCATACAATCTGTGGCCTTTTGTGTCTGGCTTCTTTCACTTGGCATAATGTTTTCAAGGGTCATTCATGTTGTAGGGTTAACTCTTTTACTGTGGAGCACGTACTTTTTAAGAATATAGCTTAAGAATACCGAATTAAAAAAAAAAACGTTCCATCCTTGTCACCACCGCCTAGCGCAAGATATAGAATATTCCAGCCTCTTGTAGGCTCCCTGAGGCTACTTTCCAGTGAATGGCCCCACCCCCAAAGCATCACTTTCCCAGTGGCCCTCACCTGAAGTGATTGTACCCCACCACTCAAGGGAGACATGCCACAACTGGGGATCTGCTCTTGGCATCTAGTGGGGGGAGACCAGGGATGCTTCTCTGCATCCTCCAATGCAGGGCATAGGTCTCCCACAGCAGAGAATCATCCAGGCCCAAATGTCAGTGGTCTACACTTAGGAAAACTTGAGGTTCCTGGACCCCATAGATTACTTCTGCCTGTCCCTGAACGTCATGGAATGGGACCATGAAGTGCACCCTAATTGTGTCTTATTCTTTTGCTCAATGTCATGTCCTGAGATTCATTGTGCGTAAGGCTCTCCACACATTCCTGGTTCGGTCTTTTTCATCACTGCATTGTATTCCATTGTGTAAATAGACAGTTATTTCCCTTTTGCCAGTCGATGGCACATGCTGGTGCCCAGAGTTTGACGATGATGAATGTGTCTCTTGGTCGCAATAAGTGCCTGTCCCCAATGGGAATAAACCCAGGAATGGAATTGCTGGGTTGGAGCAATTTAACCTTAGTAGACCAGTCGGTAATAGTTAAAGCTCGGGGGATGTTGCACAAAAATCCTGACTTCTGGCTTCTCTTGAAGAATCTATTCTGGCAACTCCGAGTCTGAGTTTGCACGTGGTAGCACTCAGCTGGAGTTAAGTAGTAGCAAGTGGCTGCTGGCTTAAAAGGGGGGGTGCGTTTCCACCTCTCCACAGCTGCCACCCTCCCTCCTCGCTGCCTCACACCTGCCTCATTTCTGTGTTTTTGTTCCCCGGTCTGGGTCTGCATTTGGCTTTGTGGCACCTCTCCTGGATCCGTGCAAGGTCAGGAATCCCTTTCTACCCTCCTGTGGCCATGGCCTTGACCTTCATGGGACCCTCATCTCCCTTCTCAATTCCACTCCATCTCACAGAGCCTGCGTCCCTTTAGACCTCTATTTTTCAGTTTCTGGGTTCTTGCTGTCTGTTTAGGGGTCACTTCCCCAGAGCAGCCTTCTCTGAGCCCTCTGGCTGGGGAGGGCCTCTTGGGGGTACTCTCCCATAGTCCCCACTGGTCTTCCATGGCTCACATTTGTACTGATAATCTTTTGTCAGCTCCAAGCCAACTGCAACTGCATCTGTCTTGTTCACTGCCATTTGCCCACCACTGGCTCAATGCACAGGGAATGCTGGCCATGGGGCATGATGGGGAGAGAGGGAGAGCCCTCCTGCCAGATGGAATAAACCACTTACCTGGCCATACCCTCTGCAGAAGCAAGCTGGGCTCCCAGGATGAGCTGAGCGGACACACCTCATCCTCAGAAGCTCTTTCCCCATGGCTGGCCCAAGGGGTCAGGGCCTGAGAAGTCTCTCCCCCAACCCAGTCCATACCAGTCCAGGCTGGCCAAGCGCAGGGCCCCCTCCCTGGGGTCCTTAACTTCCCACAGGTCGTCCCACCCCCAACCATTCCAGCTGTCCCTAAACACTGTCCAAATGTCCCCCAGTCAAGTCCCCAAGGCAATAATTCCTTCGCTTCTCGGACTCAGACTCCTCACCTGCTCACCTGTTCCCCCCCCCCCCCCCCCCCCGGCTTTGCCCTGCGCGCCCCGGGTGGTCTCCTCCCAACTCCGCTCTCCCATCTGAGCCCTCAGATCTCCCCTGCTCACACCTCCTCTCCCCAAGAATCCTGACTCCTCCTCCCTCATCTTCTCACACCTCCAACCTCCCCTAGGCTCGCTTCCTCCTTCCTCTCAGCAGCCCCCACCTCAGACACGCTCCCTTGGTTCCCACTCGGTGCCCCCAGCCTGCAGCTCCTCCGCCGCCTCGGCGCTCTTCCCCCTCCTCCCCCCGCCCCGCGGCCGCGCCTCCCGCGCACCTAGGGGGGAAGGGGCGGGGCCTCCTCACCTGGCGGCCGCAGAGCAGCGGGGCAGCGGCCCCTAGCGGCCGGGGAGGGTAGCGCAGCTGGGCGCCCCTCCCAGTTGGTACCTAACTGGGAACCCACCACCGTTCCCGCCGGCCCGCTGCTCAGGCTGCACCCCCTATGCTTCCTTTTCGGGACTGAGAGGGGTGGGGCGCCTACAGTTTTCAGTGGTGGGTCAAGAGGTGACATTTTATCAGTCCTGATTGGGGGGGCAGTGCAACAGTTAAAGGGGTTCTATTGGCTCCACCTCTAAG